TGAGGAATTTGAGAAACAAGACAGAGGATCATAGGAAAAAAGGAGGGCTCTCTGCTCAGCAGGAAACCTGCTTCCCTCTCTCTCTGCCTGCCTCTCTGCCTACTGGAGATCTCTCTGTCAAATAAATAAATGAAATTAAAAAAGTAATAATTGCAATCAATGTTTATTTAGTGAAAACACTGTTAACTCCCAAAGAATTTTCCATTAAAAAATAATCAAGTCATATATAGTTTATGTTTTATTTTGCTAATACGTCTTAATAGCCCCACAGTATTTTCCAAAATATAAGAAACAAAATGTTTACTGAGTTATCTGGAAAATTTCAAAGAAATGTAAGTATTTATCAGTGACTTGATTTAGATATTCAAAGAACTTACAAGTAACTATGCCTCTAGGTTCTTGAAATAGAAATAAAGCATGTAGGACTCGAGATTTGGCAGTTTGATGTTCTAAAAAAACAGAAGCCAAACTGGTTAGCAATATGTTCTAATGAAAAAATTAAAAAGAATTGTAAAAATTAAAGAGATCACTTACCATATGGAGAAACCATTTGACAAGGAGAGAGAAGAAAAAGGTATCCTCGGTCTCCCAAAGGTTTAACAAGAACCTGCATTTTTGGAAAAGGGAAGTTGAATCCGCTTCATTATTACTCATCATAAGGCAGGCAAACAGCAGTTTCTAATAATTGTAAAGCAAACAAGTTACTGATCATCTTGCTTTAGGAAAAATATTGCTACCACATTAAAAACTCTATGAATTCTCTGATTAACAGAATTCCAATCAAACAAAAATTCCCTAGTTCTCATATTAGTAATAAGAACAAGATATTACTGAACGAATTACCCTAATTAACTGTGAAACCAACTCGATTTTTCCTTGACACTAAAATACAAGGACCAAATTAAAGACTTCAAATACTTCCTCAACAATTCAAAAGACATGTTAAATTGCCAAAGCAGTGTGCTAAATGTTAGGGGTGTAAAGACAAGTATAGCACAAACATTACATTTCATGAGGTCAAGCTAATCTCAAATTAAATGTGTTGCTAAAATCTAATTCTTCACATAGTTAATGAACACCTTTCAACCTAAGGCAATTTGCCTTGCCAGAAAGAACTTTAAAGACAAGCAACACAAGAGCCTTGATCATAAGAAATTTATAATTGGGTGGAGAGTAACAGAAGAAATATCAATAATTATTCAAAACAGAGAAGTTCTCAAAAAGATATATAAAACAAGAGAGAAAAAATATAGTTTATAGTTGGAAAAGATACTGACAGTGTACTTTAGGTGGATTTTGAAGGACAGGAACACTGCCAAGAGCCTAAGATTATGGGAAGGACTATTTTAAGAGTCAACATCACGAGCAAAGGCAGTTATAACTGATGAATGGTCTGCAGGCATTAGAGTACTTAAGATTAGCAAAAAGGTGATGGCAGACTAGGACAAACATACAAGTCTAGAAGGAAAGATTATGAGCTCAACTGTAAAGAGGCAAGAATACCAGGTTAGCCAGGAATGTCCTCAAGAGTATATGCCCTTTTGAACTGGAGTTCAAAAACCAACAAAAAAACTCCAATAGCACTGTGAAGGAGGGGGAAATAAAAAAAGTAATGCAAGAAAGTTTGTGAGTTACTGCAATCATTTGCAATATGTTTTAGATTGAAGAAAGGGGAAGTAAAGGAAGATCTAAGCATGACAGCTGAACATAAAAGGTTATCGGGACTCTAAAAGGAGAAGTACGTATCACCTAAATTTCTATTAATTCCAGTAAACAAAGTCTGTGTAAGAACCCATAATTTAATGGACAGAAAATAACTGCTATCGATTTACATTTAATAAAGACAATGAACAGCCAAAAGTAAGATGGACAATGTACATGCAAAATTTCTGTTTCAGACTCAAATACTTTTATCCAAAATGTTTCATTTTTATTTATTTAGAAAGAGAGTATGCACAGAGGGCTGGGAGAGAGAAAATCTCAAGCAGACTCTTGAGCACAGAGCCTGACATGGAGCTGGATTTCACAACCATGAGATCATGACCTAATCAAGAGTCAGATCCTTAAGCTACTGAGCCACCTAGGTACCCCTAAAACATTTTACATATCATATTCCTTTTAACATTTACCCATCTCTTGGTTTGTCAGAACACGAAGCTGGGAAGTATGAGTAAGATTTTCATATTTTGTGGTCATTAAGGAAAAATAGATAATTTTAATATCTCACCCACTCAATACCAGGGTTTTAAATTCCATTGGTTCAGTGCCATAAAGACCCTTGTCTTCTAATGGGCCTTAACATCCCCAGAGACCCATGGAACCCACATCCTGAACCCACATCCTGAAACAACACTCCAGCAGACAGAGGCCCTAAAAATAGTATCTTTGCCTTTAGCTCCCAGAAACACTTTAAATGCTTAGGGGAAAGAAACACCTTTGAATTCCATACTTCTGCTGCCTCTATTATACCTTACTGTTTTCTTCCCCTCAGAAAACAGTATTAATCCAGTCTGCCAATTTTTATTTCTTGATTCTACTATTTTGACTTTTCAAATAAACATTACAGGTAACATGGTACAAACACAAAAATGCTGGGGAGCCTGGATAGCTCAGTTGGTAGAGCATGGGACTTGATCTCAGGGCTGTGAGTTCAAGCTCCGTGTTGGATGTGGAGATTACTTAAAAATAAAATCTTTCAGGACCTGGGTGGCTCAACTGGTTGAGTCTGACTCTTGGTTTAGGCTCAGGTCATGATCTCACGGTCCTGGGATTCAGCCCCAAGTCCGGCTCCATGCTCAGCAGAGTCTTCTTGAGATTCTCTCTCTTCTCCCTCTGCGCTCCCCCTGCTCACATTCTCTAAATTAAATAAAATCTTTCCTCTGAAGCGAATACTACACTATATGTTAACTAACTTTAACTTACATAAAAACTAAAATAATAATAAAGTCTAAAAAAAAAAAGCAAACAAAAATGCTAAAAATATAAAACAGTAAGCTCACAACCTAGGAGGAAATAAGCCACGCTAAGTGAGATTTAGCAGAAACAACAGATTCCAACACCCAAGAATTTCAAATGGAATTTCAGATGTAATATATAAAGCAGGTTATGAGCTGCTTAAAGAAATAACTTGAAGAATTGAAAACATGTTCACATAAAAACTGGTACACAAATGTTCAGAGCAGCTATTTATAAAGAAGAATGGAAACAACTGATGAATGGACAAAATGTGGTCTTATCCATACAAGGAAATACTGTTCAGCCATGAAAAGGAATTTAGTACTGGTATGTGCTACAACATGGGATGAACCTTAAAAGTATTATGCTAAGAGGGATGCCTGTGTGACTGAGTCAGTTGAGTAACTGACTCTTGGTTTTGGCTGAGGTCATGATCCCATGGGTCTCGAGACTGAGCCCCAGGTGGGCCCTCCATGCTCAGCAGGTAGTCTATGTGAAGATTCTCTCTCTGCCCTTCCCCCTCTTAAATATACAAATCTTAAAAAAAAAATATTATGCTAAGTGAAAGAAGCCAGGCACATACTGCATGATTCCACTTACATAAAGTATCTAGAACAAACAAATCCATAAAGAAAGAAGTAGATTCATTGTTATTAGGGACTGGAGAACAAATGTGGAGGGTATGCTTAATGGGTATAAGGTTTCTTTCCGGGGTGAACAAAATGTTCTGAAAACAGATAGTGGTGATGGCTGCACAACACTGTGAATCCACTAAAAATCACTAAAAAAGTGTACACTTAAAAATGGCTAAAACATATAGCAGCAATATCCACAACAGCCAAACTACAGAAAGAGCCTAGATGCCCATCAACAGATGAATGGATAAAGAAGATGTGATACTCGGGGCGCCTGGGTGGCTTAGTGGGTTAAAACCTCTGCCTTTGGCTCAGGTCATGATCCCAGGGTCCTGGGATCAAGCCCCACATCGGGCTCTCTGCTTAGCAGGGAGCCTGCTTCCTCCTCTTGCTCTCTCTGCCTGTCAAATAAATAAATAAAACCTTAAAAAAAAAAAAAAGATGTGGGACACACACACACACACACACACACACACACACACACA